GTACCAAGGACCTAACAGTTCAACCTGACTTACAAATGCTCTCCTATCGCTACTCCATCCTCCACTTAAAACACGGTGACTCCATACTGTGGAGTTCTTGGTGTTCTCTGAGTCTAACCAAGCTTGAATCAGCAAGCAATTGTTGACATGTTGCTATCAAACCCAGGTAATAATTTAAAGTGAGTTTCACAGCTTTAAGTTTCTATTATTGTTGCTATTAAAACTGAATTATTAAATAGTAGTAATGATCAAACCTTGCACAGTTGATATCTCACATTTGATTTATTTTATTACTGCAGTTTCAGTTGTAATATTTGAAGATTAATATTTCAAACCTGAGGCTAATGGTAGGAAAAGCTTGAAGCAAGCTCTTAAAGAAATTTTTGCACAGGCAAATGTCCTAAAATGTTTAATGAAGATATACAATGACCTTATCTAAGAGAATGCTTAAATATAGCAATATTTATATTATTACATATTTCACTTCTGGGGCTGAAAAAATGCTGAAGTGAAGCTTTAGTTTCAGGTATATAGTAGATTGGCTAAAAATAGGACAAATATTTTAAATGTTTAATATTGTTATGATAAAGTAGAAAACTACAATAATTACCAATACTCAGAGCAGTTTATACAATTGGAAGGAACAAAACATCATTTAAAAAAACATGAAAATAGAAACAAATTTATTTGCATTAGAGAATTTTTTTTTTTTAAAAAGGATGCTTTAAGAATCTAATTTCTTTTATTCTTGTATATAAAACTTGGCTATGTAACTTTTGTTTCTTTCTTATAAATTGAGAGAGAGACATTTTGGGTTAAGTGGGGGTATGTGTTCTAGTCTTCCAGAATCATGTTTCACTTGGTTGTAATATCATTAACTAGAAAAATAAATTTAAAAGTCACAAATTTTAAGTACTGGTTAACATTGACATTACAAATAAGTGTTTTATGCTTTAATCAGTTTTTTCTTCTTAATTGAAATCATAGATACATGATGCATATAATTATTGCTTAGCATCCATATTTCTTTGTGTACTTTTTAAAACTTTCTGAGAATAGATTTTGACATGTTTTCATCAGAGAAAGTTTACTTGTAAAGTTTCCTCCTAAAGTTTTCCTGTTGCATTCTTTGAAGATTGTAATTTTTTTATTATTACAATTTTAGTTTTAAAATACCAGGAAAACTGCTAATCAGTTAATTAGTTATGAATTTTTACTATTATGTACAGTTTGTATTCTATAAATATATCCATGAAGAACCAGTATATGTGATATAGAAATGCATTTAATAACTAAAACATTGGGAAATGATGAAATACAGTTTTATTATTCTTTATGAAACTTAGAGGAGACAGACAGAATTAATAAGCTTTTATAAGGATTGTTTATTTAGTAATTTTGAAATTTTATTTTAGTAATTTATTGTTATTCCATATGGCAATCTCTTTGCTCCATCTTTGTATCTAATGCTCTTGAGATGTGATGCTAGTAAAATCCTTGCAACTTAGGCAATTGTAGAAGAGTATGGTTTTGGTTTTTGTTATTTGTATGTATCTGCGTTCCATGGATTATTAATCTATTGGGTATCTACTAAGTAAATTTCAATAGACAGAACAAAAATATTAATAAATTAGGAGAAATGGGAGAATATTTCTCTGAAGCCTGGAGAAGACTGTTTATGTATATTTACTTCTAGAGTGCCATCGAACAATCTGTTTCAAATATGGTATTAAATTCCATAGATCACCAAATCTAAATAACTATGTCACAATCAAAAAGAGGAATGTATGATACGTGACTTCTGGTTTGCCGACGTGGCCGCCATGGACGCCTGGAAGACGAGCTCCATCTTCTTCGTCCAGTTTCACACATCTGGTGGACATTGAAAGGATCAAATGTTGCCCCATAGAGGTGACCAGAAAGGAGGGGCTTTCACTGAATCGTGGGAGAGTGGTAGCTCTCCCGCTAGAGCCAGCACTACCCTCCAAACCAGCGGATGAAAGACCGACCATAGCAATATGGCCCCTCCCTAGGCTGCAGACAGCCGAAGTCACACTTACCACCAGGTAACTTTAAAGCAGCATGGAAGAGACTGGGTGAGATCTACCTCTCTTAAATCCTAACTATCTTTTTGTTACCTATATAAGCTGCTAAGTATTTCCCCACCACCACCCCGTGGAGAGGGAAGGGGGATTTTAGTCCTTCCTCCAGAAACAGTGGCGACTGATTATCCAGGGGAGTTTAAAACGTTGAAAAAATAATTGGATCCCAATCAGAATTTTATTTCCTAAAGCTTCTGGTTCAAAATAATTTCTACTTTCTATTCTTTACTTCTATTTTAACTGAAGATCTGGGTTTTTCCTTAAAACTGAAAACTGAAAAGATTAAAATAACTTTGTAGCAACATCTTGTGGCTAAACCTGATACTTCAATTTGTTATTGTCTAAAAGTACTTGGCTGACAGCCCAGAAAGTAGATAAGACTTGGGTAACTTTGAAACACCAGCTGTGAAAAGCTCAGCTTGCTTTTTACTCAGTGGGGAAAAAAAGACTCTCTTTCTGGACTCCTTGATTGTAAAGCTTCTAGTGCAATATATCATTATGGAAGAAAATCAGGAACAGACTTTTCCTTTGGAAAAAGATCAGGAACAAATCCTTTTCATGTTGAAAGCAATTTATCAAACTCTCCTTACAGTTGGTGAGGAAATAAGAGCCTATAGAAAGAAACAAGAAATCAGCCTGGATATACAAACTCAAACTTTGACTACAACTGAAAAATCAACCATACAGAATGCAACCAAAAAAGTGGAACAATTAAATATTATGACAGAAGATTTAACTGCTCAACAAACTCAGATAATGGAAAATCCAGAAAAGAAATTGACAACATAGAAAAAGGAAAAGACTTTCTATATTATTCAGAAGGAACCTGAAGATCAAGAAGAAAAACAGATGGAAGAGAAGATAAACACTTCAGGACAACTACGTTGAGATGGAAAAATAAAGAAATCTGTTAGACTTACTAGCCCTTTCAAAAAAATGGTGACTGGATAGTTTTTTTCAACAGTAAATAATATATATAACAATACAAGGAGATTTGTTTGATGATTTCAAAAGCACAGACATGGAAGATGATTTGGCAAGAAAAGAAAGCTGGAATAAGATTGAAGAAGAATGGGGTTTTGACATTTATGAGAATTAAAATAGAATATACTCAAATAGATAAGAAGTGTATTTTGAATACAAGATATTACTATGAATGGAGATAAAGAAAACTTTGGTCACTTAAAATTTAGAAGTATAAATATTAATAGTTAAATCTGAATATTGATTTGCTCATAAAAGTCATGTAAAGGTGATTAAGATATATATATATATAAGCTAAAAACTTATTGATGAATGTAATAAAAATTATTAGTTTTAAATATGAGATAGTAGATACAAAGAGGAAGAGAGAGGAAATACTAAGCATTGAAATAAAAGAAATTTTGGTTACTAGGTTTGAGATATTTGGAAACTATTAGAAAATAAGAATTTAAATAGATAAGATGTGTACCCTGAATACCAGATTTTGTGAGAAATTGTGATAAAGGGAATTGGGAACATTTAAAACTTGGAAATGATAAATATTAAATGTCAATTTTAAATATTAATGGAAAATTAAAACTGGGAAAAATGTACCAGGACATTGATTATCTCAAAGACTGAATGTTAAAACAATTAAGATATATATAAACTAGAAACTATTGATAAATAGTTATTTTATTTGATTGATAGAATAAGAAGTGTATTAATTTAAATATGAGACAGTATATATTAAGGGAAAAGAGAGGATATACTTACTGTAATAGTGTGGGATTTGTACTAATAATATTTGTATGTAATTGAATTATGGTAACTGTCACCATGTTGTTTTTCAAAGATATAAATGTAATATTAGAAAATCAATAAAATGTTAAAAAAAAGGAATGTACAATATGTGTGATTAGTAGAGACACGTTAAGCTCAAGAAAATTAGTCAACCTTATTTTCCATGTTGGATGGTATTAAACATGCAGCAGTAATCATAGAAGACATACAATTCATTCTGGAAAAAAGAGAGAGAATGAATCTGTGGGATAGAATTTAAATGCACATGCAGATATCCTTTTAAAATCATCTTTACTCTCTCAACAGACACCGTTTTCAGCAGACATCTGTTTTATAAATTCATAAAAAGATACACAGAATGCATCATTTACATTGTTCTTCACATACATATTTATAATTGAAGAAAAGAGCAAAAGAAAAATACTCAGGAATGCTTAAGACACAATTGTTCATCTTTTTGTTTTTGCTGCTCTAGGAAAATAACATGATTCCAAGACTGCGGGGGGGAAAAATAGTGTTCTGCCTCAAGAGTGTCAAGGTTGCAGAACAGTAGAATCACCAACCAGTAGCAAGTTAGGTCAAGAGGGTGCAGAGTATCCAGACACTCACAGTCAATTATAAGCCAGGTTATATGTCAGGCCAGAGGTCAACACAAATTCCCAAGCATATGCAAAACATCCTGCAGAGTCAGATTCCAGGCAAAGTTCCAGAAATAGTCTAGGGATCAAAGACAGATGTCTACCTTTGCTGAAAGACTCCAGAAAAACTGAGCAAGGTCAGAGGTTGGTGAAAGATCTGAAGGTTGATGAAGCCAGTGCTCTTGAAATCACAATCAGCAATATTATCTAGTGGTCAGGTCATCTATCTTCCAGGGGTATTCCAAATAATATTTTCCTGTGAGTAAGGCTTCACATCTGATTAAGATCTTATTTGGGGGGAGAGGTGCTTTTTTTTCTGGAGGGCACTTACAAATTTGGATTTCAAATGCCTAAACTGTCCAGGGATGGGTGATACTTCAAGTTTTTCCTATTCCACCTAGGAACTCTCAGTCCAAGACAGAAAAAACAGATTCATTCCACATCCAACCATTCTTTCTTTGCTGATATAGATTCTTTCTGGCTTTTTCCATAGTTGAAATATGCTGCTGGTCAAGAAAGAAATGGAATGCATATCCTTTTTATGAGAAAAGGGGACAAAGAAGAAACAATTGCCCATCTGTAACTGAGTTTGAAGATTCAAATTATTTAAAATACAGGGAACTTTATTTGAATGAGATTGGCTACTACTATAAATATTACAAAATAAAAATAAAAACTCTCTCATAATATAATACTACATTAAATGCCATACGGGAGCACACTTCAAGTCTACAGAAGCAAAGGAATGCAAGTCTCAAGCTTCAGGCTTTGTTGGTTTGCCTTGATTTGTAGTTCTGACTTTTTTGTTCAATATTCCCAGTGGCCACTTTCACAGGAATTTTTCTGCATGGTGATAATCATTCAGGATATTTTAGAATGCAAAGCAAGAAGATAAATGTCCCTCCTCATCCTTTCTAGTGTACCAGAAACAAAATTCCTCTTGTATTTATTTGATTTTGTGTGTCTCTTCCTAGATTGTTTGATCCTTCTTTCATCAGATAGTTTAATCAAAAAGTGTAAATATTTTTGAGAAATAACAAATAGTCTAACACTCTTATATTTTATTTTATGCAATAAACTTCTATAAAGTTCTAAGTTTAAAAATATTTGTTCTTATTTGTTTACCCATAGAAGATGGTAGAGGACAGGAAGACCTGGAGGAATGTTGTCCATGGGGTCGCGATGGGTCGGACACGACTTCGCAATTAACAACAACAACAACAACAACAATGTTATGCTTCTATTTTGGCATATCATGACCTTTTAATAAGGGGAGGAAAGCTGCAAATTAAGAATTTCCCAATTTATCAAATATTCAAATCACATATATTTTAAGTTTAGAATCCAGAATTTTGTTGATATGATTCATCTGTAAATTATATTGTTGCTTTATTACTGTTTTGAAGACAGTAACAAATATACCAATAGATTAATGAAATAATCACCAATAAAATAATTTCTCAAATATCTTTAATGTCTTTAACTAATATCTTTACTTCCAGTAGCCTTAATCAGTTCTCAAACTCTCTTTTTTTAATTGCCTGAAGGGGCATGGGTGATTCTTCTCCATTTGTTTATTGCCTGCCATTTTAATTAATGTACTTCTTGACTCTATGTCCCTGTTCATTAATGAAGCTATTAAATGAGACAGGATCTTGAAGTAATCTTTACAGCACCTCAGCATGTGCTAACAACACAGAACAAAAGATGTTCCATATCAAACTGACCTTTGCCAACCTCACCCAGTTCTTCACATCATCCTTTTAATGGTCCTTTGGAAAGCAGGCGCTTTGAGAAAAGGAGCCCCCACAGATCTCCCTCAGGAAATTAACGCTCTTGTGGAGACTTCATTGCTTTGGTCTTTTGTGTCCCCAGAATGTTCTTTCCACTGAGCTGATTAGCCTTGGGGTGGTGTTTTGCATCTTTGGTAAAGTTTGTTCAACTACTTAACAGTGCTCCTAGCCACTTTTTCTAAGTACCTAGATTCCTTAGAATCAAAAACTGTAACAAAATGGGGAGGGGGAGGGGCTTAAATTGCAGCTGAATTACAAAGATTACAGCTTCCAGCTCAACTTTCCAATAACACTTTTTTTTGTTTACATTGTGAACACAGTTAAAAGGAGTTAATGAAAATATAGTTATCTAAAAAACCCTTTCTCTGATTATTGTCTTGCAGTAATGTAAAGCATTAGCTATAAAATAGTAGTATTTGGGTCTCCTGAAAAAAAAACTCATTTTTCATCAACTTATAACTATCCGTTTAAAAATGGGGGCAAAAATGAAATACAGACAGGTGAAGTAACTCTCTAATTTAGAATAGAAAAGGACCAGGAAATTTAATTGCACAGAAAACTTGTTTTTTGTGTTACAAGCATTCGGGCAAATGATAGAATTGCAATTTATTATCAACAAGGCTGCTTGGTATAACCACATTTATTTTTTATGTTCTTTCTGTTTCTCTGCAGATTTGCCAGAGGATGAATTACAGGAAGCAGAAATACCATGAAAAGTGCAAAAAAACCTTCAGGAGGATTTAAAAAATCTGTGCAATTACAATCCAAAAGTAATACTTTATTTTCATACTGAATACAGTAAGCCTCAAGAAGCAGGCCCACTATTAGAGAAAAATACTTCCCTTTTTAGCTACTGATTTTAGAGATATTTCCCCAAAGTGACATTGTAGGTGGAAACATTCTGTAACTGATATGCAATTATAAACTCTAAGTAGAAATCCATGTTGATCAAAACGTTTAATATATTTAAATATTGACATATTGGACCATGAAAGTATCCTGCACTTTAAAGTTCCTTTTTTCTTTCTCTCTTGTAACATAATAGTAGATTTTGATAAAAAATAATAATTCTGTCATCTGATGACAATTATGTTTACTATTTCAAATACACAATAATTCATGAAATTTATTTGGATTTCACTTCTGATTTATAAATTTGATGTTGAGTTGTACTGTGTAAGTTTATAGCAACTGCTTTGTTTTTGTGCAGAAAGGTCTGTGAAGTCTCAGTCCTTGGCCTATTCTGGATGTTTTATTCACTTACCTGAAGTCTTTTTATCTAAAAATAAAACTATTTTAATGACAATTCCTTTATGCTTAGCTCTAGGATCTTGTTGAATAATTTCAAAGAGAGGACTTTACCTATGCAAACTAATCATACAACAAACATAGCTGGGAATTCTTTTCTGAGATCATTTCTTAAATTTTTATCTCAGCTGGGCAGTTTATCCAGTCTTGATTGAATTGTGTTCAATCTAAAATGTTGTTAGTATATAATAATTATTTCCAGACATGGTACATGTTTCTGAATTAACACTATTTCCATCTTGACTTCATTAGTCTTTTTGCGTGTTTTTTCTGATATTCATAATGTATTTTAGAAAAAAAATATGCAAAAAGGCTAATGAAGTCAAAATGGAAATAGTGCTAATTCAGAAATATGTACCATTGTCTGAAAATAATTCAGAGTTCCCTGGCTCCAATTCTACATGTTCCAATTAAAGCACATGCTTCTCTTTTTGTTTTGGTCTAGTTGTCGTACCACATTAATTTATAGAGTTACTGCTCTCTTATAATATATGCAACATGAATTCCAAGCAATTGTCTCAGATTTTCTTGTCAGTATAAATAATTTTAAGAACTAACCAAATCTCTTAGCACCTTGAATACATTCCCTTGGCAAGTGATCCAGATCACTTCCGTTGAAACAGCAAAATGCAAATGAACATGTAATTCTACTAGGAAGTTAGAAATTTAGTATTTCAATGATTTTATTAAACTAGGATTATTTTGCATTGTTCTTAGTTCAGACCGTAGTTGGGCAGCAAAGATTTAGTTCTGCTGATTTCTTGAAAACAACTGGACCTGCAGCATTTTTTTAATTTTTAGGATATTGTTAATTTGTAAGGAAGTACAGCCTATTTTTTTAAATCTTAAAATAGAGCTGGAACAATTAGAATTCACAGAAAAGACATTCTCACTAAAATGACTAGAAATATTAAAATTTTTCAGCAAAATTATATTGCTGGCTCATTGAAGTATTAATAAAAACCTGAATCATAGCCACCAGTCCCCTTTCCCCCCACCCCCCACCCCGATTCTTCCAACTATTGAAAAAGAAAAATGAATTGACAAAGAAAGAAAGGGCTCAGTTAAATTTATAGTCCCCACTGACATCCATTTGGATTTGAATTCACGGATGTCTTAAGTATGATTTATCAATGAATATTCCTGCTCATGCATTCTGATTTTTCCCTTGAGTATTCTTCTTAAGAAATAATTGTTAATAACAAAAATTATCCTATGACTTCTTTTCAACTTGTTATGAGAACACTGATAATTCTAGAAGTATGTTATCGATAGCATGGTAAGCTCAAAAAAATTAATCAATATGGAATGATACATTCAATAAGTAATATTTATCATGTTAACTGTTCAGAATTTTATCAGTTTAGGCCCCACTCTGTGCTAAGTTTTCATAAGCCTAGATAAGGGAGTTTAGATTGGAATGCATGGCTTATTCATGTCCATTCACATATCAGATTTTTAAACCGTGAATCAGAATTATAATTATTATATAAACTAAAGTTATTTTTAATCAAAATTAAAATTGCTATGTTCTAAACTGGCGTGGCAAAACGAAGTACAAATCTGCATATACAATTAAAAGAGTTTATATAGCAGTTTAAAGACAAGCCAATATTATGTCCAAGCATATATTGTCAAGAAAATGCATGAAATGTTTATCAATTCCCTCTTTTTAAGCACACAGTAAAATTTAGCAGCATAAGTATCAGATACTAATCAAGGGCCCATATTTTATTGTTCCTGCTTATGATATGAGTAAGCGTAATGCAAGGTTTCCCTCATGTAATGAAGAGTTGTACAACTCTCATGTTTATCACTAGGAAGAATTAGCAAATATGGTGTTTCAGTATTTTTAAACAGAGAGCATGTGCTATTAATAGGAAAATAAGATCAATAACCCATTATTTAAAGCAAACCTTAACAGTCACTATCTATTAAAAGGAGATCAACAAGTCTGTTTTCAGTAGCCAGCTAAACTAAATAGCCAAAATGAATTCATTTACAATTCAGGCAATAATGTCACTGAATATTTTTACATAAAGTAGAAGTTGCATTCTGAATAATTTGATTTCCAAAAACAAAAGTTATTAAAGACAAATGATTGTATATGTAAAAAAAGTCAAGGAGAAAAAAAAGCCAATTTATTAATTTTGGAAAGTCAAATGTACAGATATCAATAGAAATCTCCCAGAGTTCAACTGAGTGGCTATATGAATGTTTTAAATAAATGGGTGGCTATATGAATGTTTTAAATAAATAAATGTTTATGTTTTTAAGTCAGTGAATATAACATTGGTGACAAAATCATATAATATTCTACAGCAAAATTAAGAGCTATTAAGTTAGTGATATCACAAGCTGCAAAGCATAAATACAAATTTCTTACATAAAATCTTATTTATATTTTAATAGGGTGTAAGTACATAAATCTCATTAAATATTTACATCTGTTGAATAAATATTATGTCATTATTTTAAAAGTATGCTATAATTGTATAAGATGCTATAATAATAATAATAAGTTGGAAGGGACCTTGGAGGTCATCAAGTCCAACCCCCTGCTCAGGCAGGAACCCTACACCATTTCAGACAAATGGCTGTCCAGTCTCTTCTTAAAAACTTCCAGTGTTGGAGCATTCACCGCTTCTGGAGGCAGGTGCTTCCATTGGTTAATTGTTCTGTCAGGAAGTTTCTCCTTAGTTCTAGGTTGCTTCTCTCCTTGATCAGTTTCCATCCGTTGCTTCTCGTCCTGCCTTCAGGCACTTTGGAGAATAGCTTGACTCCCTCTTCTTTGTGGCAGCCCCTGAGATATTGGAACACTGCTATCATGTCCCCCATCATTCTTCTCTTCGTTAAACTAGACATACCCAATTCCAGCAACCGTTCCTTATATGTTTTAGCCTCCAGTCCCCTAATCATCTTTGTTGCTCTTCTCTGTACTCTTTCTAAAGTCTCAACATCTTTTTTACATCGTGGTGACCAAAACTGGATGCAGTATTCCAAGTGTGGCCCTACCAAGGCATTGTAATGTGGTATTAACACTTCACATGATCTTGATTCTATCCCTCTGTTAATGCAGCCTAGCATTGTGTTGGCTTTTTTGGCAGCTACAGCACACTGCTGGCTCATATTTAAGTGATTGTCTACTAGGACTCCGAGATCCCTCTCACAGTTACTACTATTGAGCAAGGTACCCCCTATACTATACCTGTACATTTGGTTTTTCTTGCCTAAATGTAGAACCTTGCTTTTTTCACCATTGAATTTCATTTTATTAGATAGCGTCCAGTGTTCAAGTCTGTCCAGGTCCTCCTGTATCTTAAGCCTGCCTTCTGGAGTGTTGGCTATTCCTGCCAGCTTGGTGTCATCCGCAAATTTGATGAGTTTCCCATCTATCCCTTCGTCCAAATCATTGATGAAGATGTTGAAGAGCATTGGGCCTAGAACAGAGCCCTTGGGCACCCCAGTACACACTTCCCTCCCTGTAGATGCGGTTCCATTGAGGACCACATGCTGAGTATGGCCGGTCACCCAGTTACGAATCCACCTGATGGTGATGCTGTCTAACCCACATTTTTCTATCTTATCGAATAGTAGGTTGTGATCTACTTTATCAAATGCCTTACTGAAGTCCAAGTAAATTATATCCACAGCATTCTTCTGATCCACTAATTTTGTCACTTGGTCAAAGAATTCAATAATATTAAAGTAAACATATATATCAAGATTATGATTCAGTCTCAGTTCCAACATGACCCAAAAGGTTTAGTTTATTACTTATTAGTCAGTCAAATGGCCATATCAAATAAATAGAATAAAATCATTCCACATATTGACATATAAACATATTCAATAAAATAATCAGATAATTCCATGGCAGTTAATCTCAAGGAGGAGTTAATTTTTATTTTCTGTGTAGGGCTCTTCATACATTCCTCCAATTCTGTTCTAGATCTACCTTCAGTTGAACAAACTCATGGAATGGGAAGGATATTTAATCCCATGAAAATGTATCTATTCCTATGGAGGTAGAATACCATTGGATTAATGCACTTGCTTCATCTTCTCTAATTATAACTAAATCTGGATCTGATTTGTTGTTTTCATTTCTTATTGTTACTCAAAGGCTTTTATAATCTGATTCTTCAGAAAAGAATGTCTTATTTGTTCTTGAGTTGAAGATTTCATAAAATCACTTAATTTTCATCTACAGAGGATTTAAGCATATAGAAGCATAAATTGGCTTAGCATCACTTGATAATACAAAGACCCAATTCCAAAGCTTGCTAAATCTAATTATCTAGATGTTATCTAAATTATGGAGTTAATTGACATTTAAATGTTACTAATTTTATGTGATTTGTAAATTATACTGTAATCATTGATAGTTTGTCTTTCTGTTTAGAATAGTGCATTTAAACATGTTTATAAGTAGAATACTAAATGGTTATATTGTGCATAATTTTGAATTATATTCAAATCTACACATTGTTTTTATTATATACCCTTTTCCATTACTTAGTAATTAGTCAATAAATAATAAATAATTTTGATTAAACTAGCTTTTACTTCAATTATATATGATTTCTTTTTATTAGCTTCCATTACTCTGTATTAAATATATACTCAATGTTTTAATTACTATGATTGAAGAATAATTCACGGAACAAAGAATGCTAAGGGAAGATAACTTTCATCTTACCCACAGATGCATACTAAAGTTTATGAATTGTACTGGATAAAATGTCTTTATCAAAATGTTGTTATTCTACATTTGGGGATTTTAACAAGTATTTGAAGAGAGATTTTAAAATCTGCATGGGAGGAATATGTTCCCATACATCCCACTAAAATGTAATAAACAAGATCTTCAGTTAGCCTTATGACATATTAAATATATACATTTGACCTCATCATCCCAAATTTAAATCATCACTTGATTTAAATCGCTTAAATGCTAATGATTTGATAATAATATTTTGCATTCATCAGTTACATCAGATTGTTTGCTAAGAAATGTGATTATTTTTTCTACACATATGAGTATGTTCCTCCTGATTCTGTTTCTTTGTTTTTCACTAAAGCCAGCATGTCTAAAATCTAAATGGGGCTTCTTTTTCAAGTTAGTCAACTAAAATATTTTCTTCAAAATCTGTTCTGTGATTTGAATCATTTATAACTTAGTAATAATTAAGATTGATCAGCAAACTGATCAAATTAAATAAATATAAAAACTAGTATTTTCTTTGATATTAGATAAGATAACCTTTAGTGTCATTTTTTTACTGTGGGCACAACAGCACACATCAAAAATTAAATTTAGTTGCCCACTCTCAAAGTGAAACACATACACAAACCTAAATATACTATATAAAACATATGTATAGATCCACATCCCTACATATACCTAACAAATAAATATTAAATACTGTCTGTCTTGAATATATAACGGAAGGAGGAAGCTTGAGAGTTCACAAGGTTAATGCTGTATGGAATGAAACTATGGCTGAATCTGATGTTCTGCTACGGATACCACGAAGCCTCCTCCCAAAAGGTAACAAGGAAAACAGGTCGTGAAGAGGATGTGTAGTATAGCTAACACACCTACAATCTCTGAAAATACTCATTCATATGGCCATCCAGAATATTCTAATAATTTGGCTGTTCTGGAAGGCCATTATGATTTGATTTTCTATAGGTAATAAAAGAAAAGGAAAGAATTATACTGAGATTATGTTGTCAATAAAAAAGTGTGAATACAATCCTTATATAATTTTGAAATAAAAAAATACAAAGTGCTTACACAGATCACACAGGTTTTAATGTAGAACAGAATATACTATGTAAAGTTTAAAGTGTCAGATTTTATCTTAGGTTTCCATTAATTGGGGGAAGGTTTTAGGGGGGGAAGAGAGAGAGAATATATTATATCATATTGTACCATACCATATTATATTATAGTTATATTACAGATCATTTTAAAATGTTCAATCACATAACACCAAATGGATAAAGAGATTACCATTGTTACCATTATTTCTCCTACATTTTTACTTATGACAGCTTATGGTCTGGTATTCCATTTGAGCCTGGATGTGAGGGTTAATTTGATTTTCGTTTTACCTTTTGGTTTCAAAACAAACAGAAAGCCAGAATGCAAAATGACTAAAAAATATGGCATATAGTACTTCTGAGTGTTATTTTTTCACTTTCCACAGGTTCATGGGCTTCTATTATGAATACAAAAGAGGTGAAGAAGACTATTAAAATTATTTTTAAAAAGTGACATTTTGTCCAAAAGATGTCTAGGATGCTGGTCAAAGTGGTAGATAGCTATCTGTGATTTGCAGTGTAATCAGGCACCAAACATGGCTTACTCATGTTTGTTGCCACATGTTTATTTTTGGCTCAATGCATTATATGAATATACACTCTGTAGTTTAAGCTGTATTATTCAAATTGTAGTAAGAGCTACTCATTTATTTTTGTCTCATTGATTGCACCAACCTCTGAAAGTGAAACAGTGAATCTCAGTTTGTCTATATATTCAAATAAAATAGCAAACTAAAGTCCAACTCTCCTTGAATCCTTCTTTGCTCATTACCAGTCCTTGTCTCATTTCTCTATAATCTTAGATTTTGTGATAGGATGATCCTCCTCATGATTATTTAGCATTATTAGTTTGTTTCCTGGGAGACCAGAATTGTTCAATATACCTGGCAGAAATTTTTTTTTTATTGAGAATTTTTAAAAGTTTTTACAAATAACAAAAAAAGAACAATAAAAAACAAAAAAACCCAAAACAACCCTCACCCAAACCCTCCCAAACCACCCCCTCCATCCCCCCCCCGAGCTTCCCAGAGCTGAATATTGGCTTAATTAAAATTTTAAGAAACCTAAACAAGTTTTAACAACTTATAAAATAGTTAATAATAAAATATAAGTGACATAAACATTAAAAAGAAAAAATACTTAAAAAGGAAAAAAGAAAAGAAGAAAGAAAGAAAGAGGAAAAAAAATAGGAAAAAGAAAAAAAAGAAAAAAGGAGAAAACAATCCATAAAATATCAACAATTATATACTAGTTATAAAAAAGCTAAATGATATTTTTTATATCCAATTTATGTTGTATAAAATTTATCCATTTTTCCCATACAACAAAAAATTTCTCTTGCGATTGCTCCTTTAAAAAAGCCGAAATCTTTGCCATTTCCGCCAGATAGGAAACTTTAAAAAACCACTCTTGCAAGGTAGGCAAAGATTCCTTCTTCCAATATTGCCCTACTAACAGCCTTGCGGCTGTAATCAAATTTAACATCAATATAACCTCCTTAGCATCACAATCAGTAACAATACCTAACAAAAATAATTGCGGAGTAAATTTTATCCTCCTTCTAAAAATTCTTTGAATATTCCACCATATCTTAATCCAAAAAGCTTTTATATTTTTGCGACCACCAAATATGATAATAGGTGGCGTCCAAACAGCCACATCTCCAACATTTAGGCTGTAAATCAGGGTACATAAGAGACACTTTTTGTGGATCAGGGTGCCATCTATAAAACATTTTATAAAAATTCTCCCT